GTCTTAGACTGTAAACTTCTTGGAGTGTTACTATGTGTTTGTACCAAAATATTCCAGTTTTCATAGAATTTTTTTTTTAAATCAGTTTTCCATGGCTGAAATCTGAAAAAAATTGCAGGGTGGTTTTGTTTTGTTTTGTTTTTCAATGAAAACCTGGAATTTTCATAGGGGAAAAAAATCATCTGCCAACCAAGCTGTAGTTTCAAAGCTGATTTAGTTTAAGCCCCTCGTGTGGACGCTGTTCAATCAGTTTGAGTGGCTTATCGTGATCCAGAAACTTGGGTTTGAACTGGCAGTTTAGGGATGAAAGGTTCAATGGGCCAAATTAAAGCCCTGGTGTAACCCCCTGAGTTCTACGGACTGATAATAGGGACGGAATTGCCTCTATATCACATCACATCCATCCTGTTTTATGGGTCGCTTCCACTGATCACCCAGGCCGTGCTGTTCACATGGCTCCCAGTGATCATGTCAATTACAAGCGGTCACGTGGATTTCCATAGCTGGCAGAACCTCTGCCCAGTCCACGGAACCGGACACAGGCGGGTTAGAGTTTTGCCAAGCAACTCTCCCCACCAGCAGGAAATGAGCATTGATGTGGATTAGCGGGGGTGGGGGCAAGAGAAAAAAGCAAAACATTTTCTTTTCACTGCAAATTTCCGTGCCAGCAAAATGGCATCGAGCCCCGGCTGGAAATCTGTCAGCTCTTCCCCGTCAACCAGCTGCTTTTCCTGCATAGAAACCTCCCTGACCAACTTCCACTGGGGTAGGGGGAGTTCAGAGCGTGCCGAATTCAGCGTGGAAAAAGGCAGGGCCTGGGTGCTGCGCTGGACTCACCAATATGGGGGAATGGTGATAAAGCTGCAGACTTTTGCTTGAGAATGCTCACAGCGTGGCTTGGTTACCACTTAAACTGCTAGCGCTTAAGTGGCGAAGAGGCCCTGTGAGTCCAGGTAACTCTGGGTGCACACTTGCTATCTGGTCACACTACGCCTAACTGAAACGGCTGCCAAATGCCCCCTCCTGATACTCGTGGGGGGTGTTTAATTGCCGTGCAAGTCCTTCTGGCTCAGGGCTCGATCCACAGCATGCTGAAGTCAGTGGAAAGACTCAAATTGACTTCAAAGAGCTTAGGATCAGTTCCGTAGCGTGTTCAGTCATATCACCCGTTAGGGGGCCTCCCTAAGGGTAGACGGCCTTGTTTGACAACCTGGGAATTGGACTGGGGTCACCTCTAACAGGCAGCCACCCACAGCTGGTTCCTCCATCAGGGTTGGGGCCGGTGCTTATGCAGCTCCAGGAGTCGGGGTTCCCGTTCATCTGCTGACTGTGGTGTGTACATATACGAGTTAGACACTAGCCGCCCTGGTGGGACTCAAACCCTGAGAGGCGTCCGCTGGCTGGGAGGGGCTCGTCTAACTGCATAAGGCGCTGGGGGTGCTACTGCGTCGGTTCCCCGCTGACGGCTGTGCGGTGTGGGCTGCGTAACCAGGGTGGGAGAGACAGCTGAGAAGTGGGACAGCCCCACCCTAAGAGGCAGGATGGGCCAGCGGTTAGAGAGCTGGCTGGTGGCCTGGGCTCAGTTCCCTGCTCTGCCGCAGAACTCCTGGATGACCTGGGGCAAGGCACTCCGGGCTTGACCCACAAGGATATTTAGGTGCCTAACTCCCACTGGAGGCTCTGGGACAATGGGGATCACAGCACTGCCACGCTGGGTAATGAGGGCCGGCTACATACTAGACGGAGGTAGGATCAGAGTCACCCTCCCCTGCTGGCCTGGTCTGCAGCCAGCGTTATCCCACTACAGGTGTTGTGCTGTGAGTAAAGTGAGCAGGGGTCAGAAGGGTCACATGGTCCTTTTCTCTCCCCCTTACTGTAAAAGCTGCACCATCACCCTCCTTCTCATCCTAACTCCCTGAGCTCCCCCTCCTGTTCACCACTGTGTACTGCACGTACTGCTCTATGTTATCCCTGGGAATTCGCTGCAAAAGGAGAGCTCATCGGCTGGTGAACATAACCTTGTGGAGACTTGAGATACAGGACCAGGGCAAAGCCTTCCTTAAGCCAGTCTAAGTTAAAGGGGGCTCAGGGTAAAGTCTTAGGGCATCTACTCATGAGATCTGCTGAATAGCGGGCTAGACTGGGAATCAGGAGATCTAGGACAAGTCACCGCCTCTCCCACGCCTTGTCTGAAAAGCTTTGGGGCAGGGACTGTCTCTGTGCCTGTACAACGCCCAGCACCACAGAGCCCTGGGCTCCGGCTATAATAATAACAACGCCAACATATCAGCTAAAGTGCCCAGCTGATAGTGGGGTAGGAAATCCATGTCCGGTGAGAGCTTTCGCAGCTACGGCTGGGCCACTGACGTGTGGGTCAATCACTATCAGGCCGAAGATCTACTTATCCGTGGTGGTTATTGATCTTTCTACACTGCCTAGTTAACCAATAAGAACAATACCATGTACATATCATGCCCCCTGGGCTCTGGGCAGTGGTGGGGTTAGAGTGACACTTTCTGGGGAAAATGGGGAAAGGAGGTTTGGAGTATCTATTATTATTATTGAAGGGACCGGGACACAAGAATGACCTGATTTTTTCCCTAGCCCTTCGTGAATTCACAGCGTTTAAGGTACCATTAGATTGTCCCCTGTGATTGCCTGTATCCCACAGTCCTTACGTTTCACCTGTTGCCCCTGAGCTGAGCCCAGGAACTTGTGTTTGGCTCAGGCACATCTTCCAGAAAGGCAGCCAGGCTTGACCTGAAGACCAAGAGATGGAGAACCCATCACTGCTCTTGTTCCAGAGCTTCGTTACCCAGCACTGCTAAAAACCATGTGCCTTATTTCTAATTTGTCTGGTGTCAGCTTATTGGCTCATATCATGCTCTCCTAGAGGAAAGAGCCTTTTAGTACCTGAGATTTTTCTCCCTGTGAATCATAGAATATCAGGGTTGGAAGGGACCTCAGGAGGTCAAGGTAGGCCCAATCCCCAGACAGATTTTTACCCCAGTTCCCTAAATGGAACCCTCAAGGATTGAACTCACAACCCTGGGTTTAGAAGACCAATGCTCAAACCTCCGAGCTATCCCCTCTCCCTATATACACAGTAATCAAGTCGCCTTTCGGTCTTCTTTTTGACAAGCTAAAGAAGTGGCACTCTAAGCCCCTGCTCAGAAAGAGGCCAAGGTAACTCACCATCAAAGCATCTGGTGACCTCCTGCCTCCCTTGTTGCTAGTACGCTGGAGCAGAACTGATAGGAGCGACAAATAAAACGTGTAGGGGGGAAGACTAGGAATTAAATGGTAGAGGAAGGCTGGTCCTGGGGTCTGTCATGGGGTCCACTCACCACAGCGGCGCCTCCTGCTGGCTGTCACGGGGATTAGCTCTGCCACCCCGTGTGCCCTCTCCTGGTGTTGCCTCTTCCGTCGTCATCTCCACCTGCAGCCCAGTGCTCTCAGGGATTCACATGTACTGTACAGAACTGCCTGGATGTGCATCATAGGCCCTTTACTGCTAATGGCTAATGGAGATGCCCATTAGCTCAGGTTGCACAAGCATGTACTGGTAGAGAAGGAGATTCATATTTGGCTTTCTTCCCATCTTGAAAGGGATGATCAGCCACTTCCATCCCTCCCCAGCCGCAACCCCTACATCCTTTCCTGGACCAGAAAGCCATGTGTCAGGCAGGAGTAGGCTGTGGGTGGTGGGTGGGGGGAGGGAGGAGGATGGGGAAAGTCCACTGCACATATGCCCACCCCCCTCCTGCACCAGACTGTGGAAAATTTAATTCCACCCGAGGATACTTTGCAGCTCCACACCCTTAACCTGTGGAACCCCCTCAACACACACACCTTGAGGGGGTCCGGTTGGCAAAACAGGGAAAGGCTTCAATGATAGATAGATAGATAGAGGGGGTGTATGGGGATAGATAGAGATCAAAAGAGATGAGTGTAAGAAGAGAGAGGTATAAATGATAATAGTTCCATAGCTAGATAGATTCATATGGCAAGAGACAGATAGTGTCTGCGGGGTCGTCTACACTGCAATAAAAGCCCCACAGCATCACGTCTCAGAGCAGGGTCAAATGACTTGGGTTTGTGGGGCTATAAATAGACATTGGGGCTGGAGCCTGGGTTCTGGGACCCTGCCCCCGGCCAGGTTTCAGAGCCCAGGCTCCAGCCCCAACCCCAACATCTGCGCTGCTGTTTTTAGCCCGACCGAGACTCAGTGTGCCGGGTTTTTCTTTGCATTGTAGACGGACCCTTTGGGTGACATGCTGGCCCTAGTGAAGTCAGTAGGAGTTTTACCATTGACTTCAATGGGGCAGGATTCCCCCTCTCTGTCAGGTAGGTATCTGGATTGTTCGGTTTGTCAGTCTGACCGGCAGATTAGATCCGACGCTACTGAAAGAGACGCTGACTTTCTGCTTCGCCCACCGGCCTTGTAGAATTACAGTCATGGCCCATCTGCTTCCAATTACAGCATTTAACAGCTGACAATGAATTTGAGGAGATCACATCTGTGCCTGGGTATTTAATCCCTGTGTCATTCCCCATTTGAAAAGCTGGCACATTTGGTTTCATGACACTACACAGTGGGAACGAAAGAGGTCTGCGCATTGAGTTTATCAGGGTAAGTCACTTCAGTTCTAGCAAACCTACGAAGAACTGGTAGGGTTGTTGAAGAAGAGGAAGAAAAAGAAGAAGGATTGGATTCTCGTTGCGCTAGGAGCTGTACAGACTGTCCCTGCCCGGAAGCGGTGTAGAATCTAAAAGAGAATGTATCACTAAGTAATTTATTATTAAAACTAATAGAATCCTGCCCCCTTGTGGTTAATTTGCAATTTTCTCTTGCAGGCTTCTCCAGTATTTGGAGTGTGCGGGGGAGAAAGACTGATAAGTGAGCCCAGGAATCAGAAGGGCTAATAAACACACTACAGTGCCCCTGGTGGAGATAGAGGGCAGGATCTCAATCACAAAAATCCCACGGTGATCATTGAATGAAACATTTAACATTCCTAGAGGTAACAGCGAATAGAAACCGCCCCTTGTCTCCCTTCCGTACAGTTGGCTAAAGTGGCAAACATTCATTAGCTTTAATAATAAATTACTTAGTAATACATTATCCAACCCAGCAATCTGCATACAGGCTGTCTGTCTGTCTGTCTGTCTCATCCAGCTGCTGTCCACGCTCAGTCCCAACGGCCCTCGTTTGAGTCTGATCTCAGCCCACCCTGAGGTGGCTCCTAACCATGTCCCATCCCTTTTGCCCTCTCTTCCAGATGACTTCTGCCACTAAGGTGTATTACAGCCAGACCACCCAGACCGACAGCCGCCCCCTCATCGGCTCCGGCCTGCGCAAGCGGCGCGTGATGACCAAGGACGGCCGGAGCAACGTGCGGATGGAGCACATCGCTGACAAGCGGTTCCTCTATCTCAAGGACCTGTGGACCACCTTCATTGACATGCAGTGGCGCTACAAGCTGTTGCTCTTCTCCGCCACCTTTGCTGGCACCTGGTTCATCTTCGGGGTGATCTGGTACCTGGTGGCCTTGTTGCATGGGGACCTACTGGAGTTTGACCCCCCGGCCAACCACACCCCGTGTGTCATGCAGGTACACACGCTGACTGGAGCGTTCCTCTTCTCCCTGGAGTCCCAGACCACCATTGGCTATGGCTTCCGCTACATTAGCGAGGAATGCCCCTTGGCCATTGTGCTGCTCATCAGCCAGCTGGTTCTCACCACCATCATGGAGATCTTCATCACCGGCACTTTCCTGGCCAAGATTGCCCGTCCCAAGAAGAGAGCTGAGACCATCAAGTTCAGCCAGAACGCGGTGGTAGCCCAACACAACGGCAAGACCTGCCTGATGATCCGGGTGGCCAACATGCGCAAGAGCCTGCTGATTGGCTGCCAGGTGACCGGCAAGCTGCTCAACACCTACCTCACCAAGGAAGGGGACTGCGTCCGGCTCAACCAGGTCAACGTGGACTTCCAGGTGGACACGTCTTCCGACAGCCCCTTCCTCATCCTACCCCTCACCTTCTACCATGTGGTGGACGACTCTAGTCCCTTGCGGGACACAGCCCTGCGCACGGGCGAAGGAGACTTCGAGCTGGTGGTGATCCTCAGCGGCACGGTGGAGTCGACCAGTGCCACCTGCCAGGTGCGCACCTCGTACCTGCCTGAGGAGATCCTGTGGGGCTATGAGTTCAGCCCGGTCATCTCCCTCTCGGCCAGCGGCAAGTACGTGGCCGACTTCAGCCTGTTTGACCAGGTGGTCAAGGTGTCGCCCCTGTGCTGCGTCCACGAGACGGTGCGGTTCGGGGACCCTGAGAAGCTGAAGCTGGAGGAGACCTTGCGAGAGAAATCAGAGCGGGAGGGCAGCCCCCTGAGCGTCCGCATCAGCAACGTCTGATCCTGCCTACCCCACACTGAGCTCCAAGGAGAATCACTTCAGCCTTTCTTTTTAGCTGGTTGTTTCCCCTGGTCTCTTTCTTTCTTTCTTTCTTTCTTTCTTTCTTTCTTTCTTCGCCTCTCCTTCCTTCTTTCATTCATTTCCCCCCCCCTTTCCTTTCCTTCCATGTCTCACGGGGCAACTCCAGTGCTCCACTCTTTTTAGGAATGCACCGGAGGATGGCAGCTTTAGTTCCCCCAAAAGTGCCACTCCTGCCCTCGCTAGGTCCGGGAGCCCCTGGGCCCAAGGGAGCAGCTGGGATGCAACTCTTCCTTCCCCCGTGCCAAAGCGTTTTCCAATCCCTCCTTTTCAGTAGCGTGGTGATGGCAACATGACTGTCTGGGAGAACCAGGGCCTCCTGGGGGACAGCTGGTCACCAGCCAGGAGGACTGCATCCTCCCACCACAGAACACAGATTCTGTCCGGTGTGGGGGGGTAACTCTGCCTTCGAACTGACCCCGTCCTCGCCATGCAGACTCAAGCCTAATGCCCAGCTAACCTGCCAGAAAAAGACAGAGACAGTGCCAGGTGGCCCCAAAAGAAGCTGGCACCTCCCTCCCCTGCCCAGAACCTAGGAACATAGCAATGGCCACACTGGATCCAACCAAGGACCCATCTAGCCCAGGAGTCTGTCTCCGACAGCGGCCAGCACCAGCGTCCTCAGAGGCTGAAACTCTGTAGCAACGGAATAAGCTGTCCGTGGGGAAGTTTCCTCCTGACCTCCACTGGCCCTGAAGCAGATGGGTGGATAGCCCCTTCCAAAGCTCCTGGTTGTTTTCTTAGCTCCGTACTCTTCCAACTCTGGATCTTCTTGTTACACAGGAAAAGGCCCAGTCCTTTTGCAAAAACTGCTAAGCTCCTGGCCTCTATGACCCTTGTGGCAGTGAGTTCCACCGGCTCCCTGTGGGGGAAAAACGTTTCTGTTTAAATTTGCTGTGGGGGGATTGGGGGTAGGATTTTGCCAACAGAAACAATGGCTCTCTGAGACCCCTCCCCCCAAACTGTCTCCATGGGAATGAAGAGAGGGCAGCATGAGGCTTTGAAAAGAGAAATGGTTCCAGCTCAAAACACCTTCTGCTGTCCACGGGCCTTCATGTGGTCCAGGGTGCTGGTCTATTTTCCTGGGATGTTGTGCACACAGTATAGGGTCATGACGGGAGATGAATCCCCTTTGCTTGCTTCTCAGCACCAGGGATAGCTGGCCCCAGGGCTGGCAGAGCCACACACAGACCTCAGAGCCAGCAATTAGAGAGACTGCACACTAGGTCTGTGTCCCTGCTGTCAGGCAGCGCCAGCATCCAGTGCTCATCACCCCGGGTTCCTCGCTCAGACCTCTCTGGGGATTTTCATCGCACCTGAGGGAAGCTGCACTTCAGGCGGAACCAGGCGCAGTTTTTGCATCATCAGCTTGTCCACTCAGTGGTTATAACACTGTCAGAAATCTGGTTTGGATTTCACTGCTGTTATCACCATGCTGCAGGCTTGGGAACGCCCGGCGGTAGTGGCTCCCGGCCACTGCTGCCTGCGCTCAAGGAGAATCCTCCTCAACTCTTAGCAATACAGGGCCTATGATGGGTGCTCAAGCAGTTCTGATTCCATCCAGAAGAGAGCAGCGGTGACAGACACACCAGCCAGTATGAATCCCCTGCATTGAAGCCGGAAACCAGCAATACCGCAGTGAAGTTAAAATGAAGGTGGACACTTACCTCTTCTTTGTACCCGAGCCCCAGGTACAGGCATGCAGCTTAGACCCAGCCTTACCTCCACTGTCCCAAACAGACCTGCTGTGTTCTCGTTCTTTATTACTGTAAATTACTGACATCAGAAATGCTGAATCCAGAAGCTGAGGCTATGGGAAACCTGATTGGTGTTAATGAAATGTTTGATCCCACTTCATCCCAGGCTCTCTGATCTGCCGGCTAGCGCATCCGATCTTTGTCACACATTTCAAGGATCAGTGGTTCACAGCCGGGTCTTGGAAGTCTGGGAACTGAGCGGGGACATTATACACTGATCTGCAGTACTGTGTCTGTGTTTAGGGTGCCATTTGAAATTGATTTTGTTCCTGCCACATGGTCCCCGTAACAGTTTGCTCATGGGTCAGTTTCTTTCATGTAAGGGTTTTGGAGGGTTTTTTTATGATAGTTTTAAAAAGAAAAAAACTTCATCAAATATACACTGACAAACATACACAGTGGAGAAGCTCTAGATTGAACAGAATAGATCTTCTAACTTTTTAAAAGGCAGAGGACTATTCAGGGAACTACGTGTTGGCTGATTTGTTCTCTACTATGTGAAAACGAAGTGAAACAATGTTTAATTCTCTGTCTCCCTAGAGTCATGGTATCGTGTAAAAATGCCGACAGACTAGTTTAGTTTATTAACTGGAGTGATGGTAATAGCTTCCACAGAGAGTTCTTTTTAATGAGTTAAGAGTTTGGTTTTTTTTTAAAAACAGAAAAACAAAGCTTAATATTTACACAGCAGCCAGTAACAGTTCAGAGCTATTTTGACATTGCTTTTAACATGGCACACATTGTGCATTACAAAATCCCTAGTGAGTAACTGCTACAGAGGCACTTTCCAAAGCTGAATATCAGAGTTGTTCTGCTATTTCCCTTTGCAAAATACCAGCAAAGATCTGATCACATGATGGAAATGTCCCACAGAAGACACCACAGTCTGATAGATTATCCCTGCTATGATCTCTGGGTTGGTTCAAAAAACCCACAGGCAGGCTCAGATTATTTTAGGGTGACCAGATGTCCCGATTTTATAGGGACAGTCCCAATTTTTAGGTCTTTTTCTTATATAGGCTCCTATTACCCCCCACCTCCTGTCCCGATTTTTCACATTTGCTGTCTGGTCACCCTAGATTATCTATTAAGTTCTAAAGAACCCTATAATTTCTATCTCCCCCTGTTCTGTTTCTAGAGCTCAGTGTTGGTTTCATCCCTACAAAACCATACAGAATTTTTCCCATCAGGGATATTTAAGTACAATTATTATGCCCTGAACTAGCTGCCAGTCAGTTTCAGCGCTGATATTCCCTGAATGCAGAAAAAAATTGTTTGTTTGTTTATAACCATGTAACTTACGAATGTCAGTTTCACATCCATTCCTATCCCTTTAGACAACGAGGATAATTACAACACGCCTGAGATATTGCCAGGCTAGGGGACCGGAGAGAGCATCTCCTGATGGAGAAGGGAGGGGGCTGGACTGTGATTAAGGCTACAACTTTGCTGTGCAAATTTTTAGTTAATTCCATGGTGGAGATGTGTGGGGGGGAAACCCATAGTCACGGAAGAGTCACGGCTTGGTTGCGGGGGTGCTGAGAATGAGCCTGGCCCGCATTCACTCCGGAACAGCAGCTCCTGTCCCTGGGGGCGGGGGCTGACTCCCCGTTCCGGGCGGTTGCAGCGCTACTCAGGTTTGGTGCATCCACCTCTCCACAGAGGCGGACACACCATACTTGAGTGGCGGAACGACCGTGTGGTCCACGTCGCAATACCCAGAGCAGGGAGGCAGGCCTGCAGAAGCTGCCTCTGCAGGGGTCACGGACCTTATTCAAATTCACACCTACCAGGAACACCGTGATGAGTATAAAGGGAGATTCTTTTTGGAGGATGCAGGACACAGGCAGACCCAATGGTTCTCTCTGGCTCTTCAGCTCTCAGCCTATGTCAGGGTCTCTCTGAATTCTGGCCTGGGCTCTTCAGTCCTGGAAGGGAATGCTGGCTAGATACAGGCGTGCGCACCACGTGCATCCTCCTGCTGCAATACTAGCTCGCCCTGTAGCATCACAGCAGCGCTGTGATTACAGATGCTGCTAAATGATATGTCCAGCCTCAGTCCAGCACAAAGAGCTTTTATTATTAGCATTACGTTAGCATCTATAGGCCCCATCTGCTACGTGCTGTACGTACCCATAGTGAGAGACAGTCCCTGCCCCAAGAGCCAGCAATTTACATAGACAAAGAGAGGAAAAGTGACAGGGTCAAGGTCATACGTCACACCAGTAGCAGAGCCAGGGACAGACGTCAGGTCTCCTGCAGCCTAGGCTGGTGCCTTTCCCACTTTAAATATCACTGGACACTCTCCCCGTCCACGGTGCTGCCTTCCAGCAGGCCTGCGCCTGCCCCTGCTTTGGGAGGCGGGAGCTTTGCCCTATGCCGCAGTGGGCAGCCCAGAGTTCAGGCACATTCCACACACAGTGAACTGCTCTGAAGACAGCTCCATGGGCTCCTATGTAGTGGAGCCGGCGCCCCACCTGGGAGCAAAGGTTTCTATTGTAATCAGCAATACAGCCTTCATTGTGATTGGCAATCAGCTTCCTTTTCCAGCTTCATCCCACTACGCAGGGGGCCCCTCCAGGCTCAATTCCGCCTTCACCTGGGTTCTTTCCCAGCACTGTAGCCTTGATGTAAACCCAGCTGCTTCCCTTCATTTTCCCATCAGGACTGATGACAAAGGTCATTAATGGCCTGTCTCTCCCCTGCAATAGGGGACAGGGCATTGCCATCAGGCCAGCTGGCATCTGAGTGCTTTCTTTCATCCAACGGCCCAAAGAGCTCCACCAGTTTTACAGAACAATTACAAACCGAGATCATTTCACTCACAGTGAAATGCAGCCACCTCTGGGCCGGCACTCGGCAGCTGTTTAACAGCTGCATGGCCATGCTGCCCAGCAGTTTAAGGCAGGAAGTGAAGAAGGATTTTTTATCCAGTTATGGCGGGGGAATTTAGGTTGGCCAAATGTCATTACCCAAGGTGGGATCTGGCCAAAATTCTGAGGCTGATGCACCTATTAGTGCAACACGTGCCATGGGATTTTAAATTATTATTCTGTACTGTGGTAGTCATGGACCAGGACCCCATCGAGCTAAGCACTGTTCAAACACGGAACAAAGAGATGATCTCTGCCCCAAGGAGCTGACAGTCTAAGCAAATGACTACAC